ACAGGCACAAGCAAACCATAGTTACCAGTGCTACCAATTGGGCAGCTCACCAAGGCTGCTGGGAGCTTTCCAAACCTGGTACACAGCCCTCATGCAGAAGTCACTAACTATGAAATACAGACATACACCCAGGCAGTTGGGACTGTATGTTTGAGCACTTGGTTTATATGCCTCCTTTACCTCTCTTGACCACCTTGCAAACCAGTAAGGGGCAGCTTATATTTGCTCTTTTTAGGAGAAACTGAAGCTCAGGGATGGAATGCATAGCTTGCCTCCAGGCTCTTGAAAAGTTATGGGCACCTAAGGTTCCTCAGTCCTAGGTTGGCCTTTTCTTTCCTCCTCACAGATGAGTAGTATTCAGTTCTGGGAAGATCTCTCTCTCCAGACCCCAATCCTCATCCTGGGTCTCATGGGACCCTCCCAAGTCATGAAAGAATGAAAAGCTGGTTTCCTTACAGTGCTGTGAGTGGTTACTGGTTGCAGGGCTTAGGGCAGATGGGCTGATGCTGGGAGCCCTGGGGATAGGAACTGAGCTTGAGGCTGCAGCTGTCAGGCTTGGAGTCTCTGTGCTGTGGTTCTGGTAAGTAGAATCATGGGTGCTGGTCCCAGGAGCTCTTGTAGTAACAGGTACTGTCCTTGTCATAGCAGAGGCTAACGTTGTAGTTGAGGTAGACTGAGGTGCTAGAGAAGAAAGAAGTTGCTGCTTTAGTGCCTAAATTACTGCTATGAGTTATGTGTGAGGGGATTCATCCTCTTAGGCTTAGTTCAGATGCCACTTCTGTGATGTTTTTCCTCATCCCCTGGAATGAGCCATGATTTTCTCTTTAGCTGAATCCTAAAGCAGTTTGCTTTGATTCAGTAAAGATGAGGCAGTGAAATAATGGTATAGAAATAAGTATGGAAGAGGCCTTTGTAAAAGACTAGAGGGAGCTGGGCATGGTGGTACACAAGTGTAATCTCAGCACCTGAGAGGCAAAGATGGATCTCTGTGAGAGTGAGGCCAGTTTGCTCTACACAGCAAGTTTCGGGCCAGTTGGATACAGGGAGACCCTGTCTCAAAAAAAAAAAAGAGGGAAGTCATATAAACCGAGAAGCATTTTATCCTGATATGTAGTTAGTTATATTAGGGTTAAATTCTTCACATTAAACAATTGAACCTGAAAATTATAAATGATGCAATAGACTTAAAAGTTTAAGTAAAAGGCCTTGGCTATATATAAAGATTGGGAAATAAACCTCATTTATGTGGTTGAAGCATTTAAGTTCCAGTCAAACTGCAAAAGGGCTTCTATAGCCAGGCTTGGTGGTGCATGCCTTTGATCTCAGCATAGCAGAGGTAAGCATATCTCTGTGAGTTTGAGGCCAGCCTGGTCTACATAGTTCCAGGCAGGCCAGGGAGAGCTGGAGAGCTTGTCACAAAACAAAACAAAACAAAACAAAAAGTTTCTATATAGTATGCCAAGATCTAGGTAAGAAATAGGCAAACATGTAGTCATCTCTGTATAAACAGTAAGTGAAGCTGTGGGGATCATGGGTTCTTAACTAGAGGTTTTCAAGGGGTTCCAAAAACTTCCTGGAAATTGAATTTAAAATATTTTATGTATATGTGCTCTTTTGGGGAGATGAGAAAGCCTCAGAAGGCTTCTGGGAACGCAGACATCTATAGAAGGTTAAAAAGAAGAGCTGCAAAGGCGACAAGAGCTGGAGACGATGGAGGAAAATCGGAGCACATTGTGTCTCAGAAGCCATGGGCAGGGTCAGGCACTAACCTCGGTAGCATCTCTTCATATCTGGGCCCAGCCACATCGTGTCAGGACAGGCACATGTGTACTTAGGAGAGTGGCTAGAGATCTGAGGAGCAGGAAGGCACAGGTATTCACAGCCACCATTGGGCTGGACACTCAGCTCGCAGGCATCTGCAGCTAATGGCCAGGGTTGGGGGAGAGAGAGAGAGAGAGAGAGAGAGAGAGAGAGAGAGAGAGAGAGTCAGTTAGGACACGATGGACAAGCCAGGTCCCCTCATCCACTGATAATGAGGCCTCTCCCACTGGGCTTGCTCAAAAGGCTTCCTTACTTTTATTGAGTACCTACCAGCAGAGCACTTGGTAATCCTTACTCTTACTCAGTTCTTACACTACGAGGTGGGTGTTATGACCCAGATTGAGAGATAAGCCTATGCTCAGAGTACAAATGTACAAGTTATACCTCTAGGAATTCTGGAGACAGAATATGAATTGAGGTATTTTGGATTCAAAAGCTAAAACTAATCCCCTCACACACACACACTACTTTTCTGTCCTTTTTTCCCCCCTCTCTCCTATGTTACATATCACTTCTTTTTTAAATTTCTAGAACTAGAATCAGGCACCAATCTTATCTCCTTACCCCCTTTGTAGTCCCACTTTCACCCTGATAGCCAATACTTATTATAATTAGAAGTAGTCTATCCTAGTGATCTAGTAGACAACCTAGTGGTATGGTTCCTAAATTCTATTCCCAATGAACCAGCTGACTTACATATGGCCCTAGGACACATCTTTTTATACTACTGCAAAATGGGTGAAGAAGTGAATGAAATCAGGAACAACACTGCCACGGCAGAAGGAACTTTTGCAATCAGGTAGGCTTGAGTTTAAGTTTTAGTCCTTAGGGCTTGGAGAGATGGCTCAGCAGTTAAGAGCACTGATGGTTCTTTCAGAGGAACTGCGTTCAATTCCCAGCATCCACATGGCAGCTCACAACTGTCAATAACTCCTGGCCTCCGCAGGCTATACACATAGGTGCGCTTACGAGCATGCAGGCGAAACGCTCAGACACACAAAAAAATAAATGCAGTTTTAGTTCTTCCAGCTGCTAACACTGTTTTAGCTCTCTGAGCTTCAGTTTCTTCATCTGTTGAATGAGAAAAATATGCACATTTTTAAACTTTATAAAAAAATTTATTATTTTAATGTTATGTGTATGTGTGTATTGCCTGCATGTAGGTTAAGTGCACCTGTGTTGTGCAATGCCAGAGGAGGTCAGAAGAGGCTGTCGGATCCCCTGGGACTGGAATTACGGACAGTTGTTAGCTGCCATGTGGGTGCTGGGATTTGAACCCAGGTCTTCTGCAAGAAAAACCAGTGTTCTTAACCTCTGAGCCATCTCTCCAGCCCCAATATGCACATTTTGTAGTATTGGCAAAGCTATGAAATTTATATATTTATTTATACCAAGCCTTATTTCACAAAGAGCTTGAAGTAAAATGAGACAAAATATGACAAAGCACTCTTCAAACAAGAGAGATTATTGTTATTACTGCTACAGATCCTGAGTCATGACATGATGGGAACAGAGGCTGCCAAGTGACAGGAGAGCACAAGCAGGCAGCCAGGGACCTACCTCTTGAAGAAAGGCCTACCTCTTGGCTGCTTCAGCTCATGGAAGATGACAATGTCATGTGGGTTATTGAGGTTCTCCGCCAGGATGGAGATTTCCAGGCCATTGAGCCGATTTGCACTGAAAATGGCCTCGTTCTCCAGGTCTGTCCAGAATACCTTGTCCTGTGGAATACAAATGTGAAAGACAGGAGGCCCAGAATCTGAATGTATGATCTCAGTCTCAGGGCCCAGCCCCAAATCACAGTGACAAGAAGAGCTACCTAGCCATCTCCCCCAAGCTATCTGTTCTGCCCACAGATTCCTGGGGGACTCTCTGCCTCTGATGATGATGTAAACACTCCCCATTTCCCTTCTATCTTAGATGGTTATTTGGTGATTCTATGCTTTGCCCTGAAGGTCAAACTTACCAATCCTGAGCTAGGCCTGCTTCCTAGAGCCAGCAGAGACCGAAGGTTGGATCTCTATACCTAGTACTATTCTTGGGCCTGGGACTAAGATCAGAAGGAATGTGTGAGCTCCTGAGGGCTAGCTGCTGCTGGGCCTCCTGGGAAGATATACATGAGTCCATATGGCTAGTCCATACATGCCTAGACATTTATCTGTAGGCAAATCCACAATTACAGGTGCAACCATGCATCCTATCCACAGAGCCACATACCCACAGATCCATCTATATAGATAAAGACACACTCGTGCCAAAATAAGCTTGACTGTTAGTGTACATACACTCAAAACTGCATACACAGGAATGCATATTTTTACTCTAATGCATTTAGGTAGACGCATGCACATAATACTTTATACATGCCAGGGTATGCTCAAGCACACACACACCACACACACACACACACACACACACACACACACCCACACACTTTATACATGCCAGAGTATGCTCAAGCGCACGCACACCACACACACACACTATATCCCTGACAGGGTCCACTTGCGTACACACACACACACAGACACACACACCCACACACTTTATACATGCCAGAGTATGCTCAAGCGCACGCACACCACACACACACACTATATCCCTGACAGGGTCCACTTGCGTACACACACACACACAGACACACACACCCACACACTTTATACATGCCAGAGTATGCTCAAGCGCACGCACACCACACACACACACTATATCCCTGACAGGGTCCACTTGCGTACACACACACACACAGACACACACACCCACACACTTTATACATGCCAGAGTATGCTCAAGCGCACGCACACCACACACACACACTATATCCCTGACAGGGTCCACTTGCGTACACACACACACACAGACACACACACCCACACACTTTATACATGCCAGAGTATGCTCAAGCGCACGCACACCACACACACACACTATATCCCTGACAGGGTCCACTTGCGTACACACACACACACAGACACACACACCCACACACACTTTATACATGCCAGGGTATGCTCAAGCGTGCACACACACACACACACACACACACACACACACACACTTCACCTGACTTGAAGCAGAGGCTAGCTTTAGAGGAGGTCATTTGTCACAATTTCAAGCAGTGCTGAATGAAGCTGCTCCAAGCAGACACTGCCACTGCCCAGCACGCACTACTGCCCCTCCCTCTTCCCTGCCCCTAACAGTGGGGTTAGTTTTGGGGAAAGGTGTGTGAGACTTTGGTAGGGTCTGGTTGCCCCATTTCCCAAGAAGAAAGGTTATTAGGGTCAGAGCAGAGGGGGCTTTTGACTCTTTACCTTCTTGAGGACTTGGATACTGTCTAATTCACCTCCATGACCCCAGGATTTGGCAAAGGTCAACAGAGATGAGCTGAATGGCATAGCTTCTCTCAGGCCATGCAGCATACTAAATCTACATGATTCTAGAGAAACATATTCTTTCTTCCTTTCCTCCTTTCATTGGGTGCCTTCTGTAGATGACAGATAGTGCTGGGTGCTGGGGTGCACAGAGGAGGAATCTATGCGAAGTAACTTACCCGTGTGACATTCTCTGAGCGAGGAGGCTCTTGGGGAAAGAGCACAGGAAAGGCTGCCAGGCAGACTCGGCTACTGAGCCTCTGTGCAGGCCGTTCTCAGTGTAAGCACAAACATTTGGCTTCCCTAATCCTTTCTTTACCTTTGGACAAATCTCAGGGAGGCATCCTATTTGAACAAGCCTTCCCTAGATTTCAGCTTCCTGGCAGGGCCATGCCTACCCTCATGGGGCTCACCTCAAACACAGCTATCCCAAAAGGATGACTCAGGAAGTCAGTGGAAAAAATCAGCATCTTTCTGTTGCCTCCATTGAAGTCAATGCTGGACAGCTGGTGCAGCTTGGAGTCCACCCAGTATAAGCGCTGGCTCAGCAAGTCTTGGGGAGGAAAGATCAGATGGTCAGGAACTAGTCACTGCAGCTACGTCTCTGTTCTTCTGTACCCCTCCCCATTCACATTTCCAGGCCTTAGACTGAATGCAGCTTAAGGCAACAGAGGCACTGGCACCAGGAGGAGACACTAAAATAAGACCCCTGGGGCTCCTGACAGTTGTCAGGACCAGTGCCAGAGCAGGCTTCCAACTCAGGAGAGAGGCAGGACTCACCCAGGGTGATTCCATTGGGCCATTCAATATTGTCTGACACCAGTGTTTGTCGGTCCACACCGTTGAGCCCAGATTTCTCAATCTTTGCCTGGAACCCCCAGTCAGACCAGTACATGAACCTGAAAGATAGAAGAGCCCAGTTTGGCTTCTTGTTGGGGACAACTGGGGTGGTCTGAGTCACAAAGACTCAATGATCCACTGGAGAGTTGAGGATTATATTTAATGGGAATGGGAAAATCCTGAAATCCATTGGAACTATCAAATCTTAGAATAGGCACTTTAACCTTTATCTCACTTGAGAGCCTAGGGAAGTGTGGCTTGTCCTCAGTCCACCCAGGCTCAGCTGAACAACTTGAGTCCCATTCCCACTTCTAGTTGCTCTAACCAGAGCCCTAGAACATCTGTGTGGGAATGGTCCTTGCAAAACTCTCCCGATTTAGATGAGAAAGTAGATGACGTTCTTGACTTGGGTTCCTGCTCCTGGACCCTCATTTCTACTAGGCCTGGTAGCAGTCCACTGTTACTGATCCACCCTTTCATGAGGCTGCTGCCAACTAGTTGACCTCACTTGAAAAGAGTTTTCCTATCCCTACTTTGCAACTAAGGAAAATGTAGGAGGAACATTTTCACTGAGGAGGGAGGAAGGTATTGTTCTGCTCAAGCTTCCCAAGCCCCCAATTCAGGATGACCAGAGTAAAGCAATCTAGGTGGTAAGGGGCCAATTGACTGAACAACGATGGTGGAGATGGAGGTGGGTAGCTGGGACAGAGCAGATTCAGTGACCTTAGTCCTCAAATCTTACTGGTTGTCCCACATGCACGTTGTTTGTAACTCTTGAGGCCAATGGAAAAAGATATAGGGAGACAGACCTGGGATTAGGAGGGGAAAACTCCACAGTGTAACCAATGGTAGAAGCAGGCACAATGAAGCAGGCTCTATTGAACTAACAAGCTCCCTGAAAGTTTCAGCAGCTGCCAGATCCCACCGACAGTAGCCTGAAGAGAGGCTTCTTCCCCAAGAGCTACTACCAGGAATCTCCAGTCCTGCACTGCTCTAAGATGCTCCATTTCAGTGACGTAATGAGTGAGCCAAGAATTCAGGAAGAACACTAGTGACTAATGCCCAATACCTTGACCAGGGATGAACAGGATGGAGGCTGTGCTTGGACTTTCTTTCCTGTGTATGACTGGCCCACAGTCTTCTAGAACTCTTGATAGCTCTTGTGACAGATACCTAAGAACTGAGCACCTTTGCTGGGGAAGTGGGAAGTTTGAGTGGGGTCACTCACCCTCGCAGGGGGTCAACAGCGATGGCTCGGGGTTCACTGAGGTCCCGGCTGAAGAGAGTGCATCGGCGGCGGCCATCAACTGTGGCCACTGAGATAGTCTTATTGCCCGAGTCTGTCCAGTAGATGTGCTTGTGAACCCAGTCCACGGCCAGGCCCTCTGGAGAGTGCAGCTGCTCGTCAATGAGGACCACCTGTTCATCCGGGACACTGGCCTTGTCCATGTGGGCACTTAGGAGAAAGCAGGGCTGGCCATGGGCAGATGTTCCACCCAGGGGCCCATCTGGAGCCGCCTGTATACCCCTCCCCTCTGTCTTCTCTCTGGCCCATGACAGTGGGTTTTAGAAGAACTTGGTTACTCTCCACTTAACACATTCCTTGAGCCATCAGGGTAGGGATAAAGACTGAATCAGCTAGTTTCTGGCCTGGTGGAGCTCAATTGGGGCGGGGCAGAAGCTTATAGGCAGATACAATGCAGTGTGGAGGCTACAGCAGCAGGGAAATGGAGACTGCATCATCCTGCAGAGTGGGAGAAGCCTTTGTGGTTGAGTCCTGAAGAACTAGTTCACCAGGGATACAAAAGACAAAGCCGAACACAAAGGGACCAGCACATACAACTGCAAAGTGAGCATGTTCTGGAATAATATGAATTCTGCAGCAGAGCTGGTTTATGGGTTGCAAAACTGGAAATAAGTGTAGGCAGGAATCATATCCTGATAGCTCTGAATGTACTGCTAAAGAATTGGGACTTTATCTAGGGTCAAAGGTGAGGCAGGTAACTGAACAAGTTCAAGGACAGAAGCATGTTAGACCACTGTGGCACCTTTGGGATGGATGGATTGGAAGGGAAACTGATGAGGAGGTGGTTAAGACATGCATTGGTAAGATGAAGTAGATCTCCAGGAGGCTGTGCAGGGCGGAGAGAACTGGCCGCACAGACACTCAGGAGGCACCAATACCAGGACTTTTGCTTCCCAAACGCTGTTGTCCACAAGTTCCTCTTCCCCCATGCTATCTCCAGGTAATTACTTCCATATGCCCACTGCCACCCATAATTCTGACTCTCCAATCCTGACAGCTCTCTTAAGGCTGCAAAGCACTCTTGGATAGCCCATGAGCACCTTGAATTCAATGTGTTGCAAACTGCTTATCCTTATTTCTGTCCCTCAACCACAGACTGCCCAGCTCCCAGTCTCTGATCTCCAATGCTTCCAATCTAAAAGAGCAACACAGTACATAAAACCCCTAAGCCAGACACCCGAGATTCCCATTAACCCTGGAGTTAATGCCTCATTCAGCCCCATATCCAGCTCTCCTCAAATTCTCCTTTTCCAGTCACAGTTGTTGGACAGGCTCTGCTCTGGCTCTATTTCTGTGTGTATAGGTGTGAACTCTGTATGTGTGTGCTGCAGGGAGGCAGGAACCTAGTTGTCAGTGAGCACACCTGGCAGTTTGCTTCTATTCGTCTCTCTGCCCATCCGCTATCCCATCTTTCTTTTTACAGTGACTTGGTGACTTCTGAATGTCTGGTTATCAGCGGTCTTGCCAAGTGAATCTCAAGACAAAGTAAGGACATTAACGGTCCAATGAAGACAAGACATGCAAGGAGGCAGACTGACAACACCTGAGACAGACTTAGGAGGGACTTCCTCAAGAGTACGAGGAGCTTCCCAAGTGCTTAAGTCCACTGCCGAGGTCACAGACAGTGACCAGAGGTGCCTCCATGATGGCTGGGGTACTGTCATTTCCTTTGTGCCTTCTTCATGTCCCATTGGTTTTAAGTGGGATCCTTCAGGCAGAAATATCTGAGTCATCTTGAGTCCCCAGAATCCAGCACACAGATACCTGACCGGCTTTGCCAGGGGTTTCTTCCTTCCACACTTCCTGTGTCCTGCACTTCACTGCCGGACCACCAGGGGTGAGACATAGGCCAGACAAATGGGCTCAAGGTTTTATCTACTACAGCTCTCAGCCCACACCAGGCCAGGGGGAAGTCCTGGTGCTTCCACAGTCCATGATTCTGTCTCCTTCCCAAGCCCAGCTCTGTCCTGAGAAGTCCTAGAGGCAGAAGTCACACTGTTTTCTCTGTCAACTGCCCCTGGCTCAAAACTCTCAAGGCTTGGCTGCAGGACATGGGCTACTTACCTATAGATCTTGCGGTAGGAAAGGTCACACCAGTATATACGATTGGTGGCTACTTCCACATCAAGTGCCACGACGTTCTTGAGCATGGGGATGAGGCGCGAATAGTCCCGCTTCACCAGGTCTATCTTTCGCACCTCATGTCGGTTGGTGAAGATTAGGGATGGGCTCTTGCCAGCTGCCGTGCAGAGAAGCTGAGAGTCAATGCAGGCAAGGAATCTAGAAAGCAAGTCTCTGCCTAGTTTGCTAGGCAATGATGCTGGGTGACACATCATTTTTTTGTGCAGTAGGGGTGACAATCCCTTAGGCCTTTCTCAAGTCTCCCAATCACCCCGAAGTATGTTCCTTTTTAGCAATCACTACTCTTTGGGGCCCCACCTGCCATCATGTAAGAAGGATCCACCTGAACAAGTGAGGGTCTTAAAGAGATAGCCTGGTAAGCTGGGTGAAGCTTGCTCTTTATCTTGAGCCAGAGATAGGCCACATGTGACAGCTGACAAGATCACATATATGCAGTGTCCACAACACACAATTGCCTGTTATACAAAACCCATTTTTTATTCTCAAAGCTAGATTTTAGAGAATCATCTGTGACCTAGATAGTCTTGGCTATTCCATTTGGAAGGTCACTGTCCCATAGAGGATCTTGCACTGGTTCCCCCAGGTGGTTCTGAGATCTACTAGGTTATTCTCAGTTTCAGCTCCTAGTAATCTCTGTTCTTGGAACCCCCTGCCTGGGTCCTTCCTCTCCTGTATTTTCCAGCCACCTGGTCTCTGCCACTGTGCATCTATGCTAGGCTAATGCTGTTCCCTGAGAACAGGATGGGACCAGTTCAGGGCCATGTAGTACTGGGCTGGGCTGGCTGGGTGTGTGACTTATGTAGTGATGGAGACTATTACAAGACAAACTGGGGCAAGAGGGAAGCTGTGATACAAATGGCAAGGAAAATGGGATCAATGTACAGAAAGGGGCAGAAGAAGCGCTAGTTTCTAGGCTTTCTCTGCCACCAATAAACTGGAACTTTCCTCATCTCCAAATGACAGCAGTGACACTTTACCTCTCTGAAGTCCCAAGCTGGATAAGAGGGTATCTTGAGGTGATTTTTAATGAAAGCAGTGACAGTAACAAGAATCCATGTGTTTATGATTTGAATTTTTGCATAATTGCACTTTAGATATTTATATGTATGTTTTTTGTGTATACATAAACAGTATGTGCTGTCTCCACAGCACAGTGCATGTGCTGTTACACATGTCCTAGATGAAAGTAAAACTGGCTACATGATATGTGTGATGTATGAATGTGCATTATAAAGTATATAGTGTGGGTAGAACATATTCTTTTAATATTTTATTTTCCTTTTAATTTTATGTGTGTGTGGCCTGCATGTGTGTAAGTGTATCTGTGTCATGCAATGCCCTCAGAGAATAGAAGAGGGTGTCAGATCCACTGGAAGTGGAGTTACAAATGGTTGTTAGCTGCCATGTGGGTGCTGGGATTTGAACCTAGGTCTACAAGAACAGCCAATGCTTTTAACCGCTGACTCATCTCTATAGCCCAGGTAGTACGTTTTGAGATTTATGGGCTATCAAGTGTTATAGCTGCTGTGTTGTCATAATCAAGTATTCATGTATATGAACTCCAGACTCACATCAAACTGTTCAGTAACTGGAGATCTACAGTTTTCTTATATTCAACATGTCTAAAATAGTCTAATTCCCCAAACCTGCCTCTTTCACCATCTTTCTTAAATCCTGAAATAGCAATTTTTCCCCTCAGTTATTTGGCCTTGGAATCTTCTAACTCCCTTTCTAACTTTCTACATTCAATATATAAGCAAATCCCACTGGTTTGTCTGCAAAGTATACACACATCTGTTCACTTCTTAATCCCTCACAGCAACCATCCTGCTCTAAGCCTCTCTCTTGGATTACTGTAGTAACCTGTGGCTTCTCCAGCAATGAAGCCAGGTGGAGCCTAAATGTTACACCAAGTTCCCCGTCCACTCAAAACCCTTTGAGGATTTCCCTCAGATTTAGAGAGAAACTGAGTCTACCTTTATAACGGTCTAGAACGATTTGGGGATCTGCCCTGGGTTACCTCTCTGACTTCACTTCTTGCTGGTCTTCTAGCTCCAACTGTGACAGCTTCTTACTGTTCCTTCAACATCTAAGCATGTTCCTTCCTTGGGCTTCTGCACTTTGCTGCTCCAGCCTGAAGTGCTGTTCTTACAGATAACTACTGGGAAGCTTACCCCTGCACCTCCTCTAGGTCTCTGCTCAAATGTCATCTTAGTGGTTGTTCTGTTTACAACTATAACCCAGACTATCTTATCCTCATTTCCTACTTTATTTCTCCTTAGCTCTTACTGCCACCTGCCATGTACTGTATTTTAAAAAATATTTTATTTATTATTTTTATTTTATGAGTATGCGTGTATTACCTGCATGTGGGTAAGTGCACCCGTGTCCTGCAATGCCTGCAGAGGTCAGAAGAGGCTGTCGGATCCCCTGGAACTAGAGTTATGGACAGCTGTTAGCTGCCATGTGGGTGCTGGGATTCAAACTCAGGTCTTCTGCAAGAACAGTGTTCTTGACTGCTGAGCCATCTCTCTAGCCCCTCATGTACTGTATTTTATTTATCTATTTATATATCTATTTTTGATTGTTTCACTCATTAACAAAGGGATTCTTGTCTATTTTGCTTACTGAATCTCCAGTGCAAAGAATTAACTATTACTTCAGTTGGCTGAATGGATCAATGTATACAGTTGTACATAAGTCATGCCCTTCATGTGGGCCACCTATGCTGCTTGTGTGGTCCAGATTTGTCTTTATATTGTACTGTGAATGTGACTGCTGCAGGCCATCCTGGGGTGGCTCTAGCCATGTCTTTCTGGGTGTTAGTGGGTGGTGCATTGTGTGATATACACTTGTACTTTGAGCACTGTGTGTGAGACATACTTTCTATGTGTGTGCATGTGTATTCAAACTCTCCTCACATATGTGGAAACACGGTGCTTCCGATACCCCTCCAGAGCAGTCCCTCTTCCTTTGGAGTATACATACCTATAGCCTTGCAGTTCTTGGTCAGTGTGTCCATCTCATAGCCAGGGTGGCACTCGCATTTAAAGTAGCCCTTGTAATTCACACAGATTTGGCTGCAAGCATCTGGGTCCTGGCACTCATCAATGTCTGTGGGGAGAAGCAGAGGTCAGGACTGGCAGGAGGATCTGCCTCTGCTTGGGCAGATGGGGGAGGGCTCACCGCCACATGTCTTCTGGTCCAAGAGCTGGAAGCCTGCTGGGCATGTGCACTCAAAGCCAATCTTGAGGTCAGTGCAGATGTGGGAACAGCCACCATTGTTGTGCAGACACTCATTCAGCCCTGGGGAAGGACAGACTCCTGAACTCCTCTGACAGGCAGGAGAGGGGCCCAGAGCAAAGCAGAGCCTCTGGGCAGCAAGCTCCTACACAGCCAGAACTGAAAGCTGCATTAAGCTTCTATCTCATTAGTCAAGTGACTGGGAAAGAAGAGATTCACAGAGGGCAGGTCCCTGCTTAGACCAGACAGACAGGGACAGGGGAACCAGAACATTGGTTCTTGTCCTAGGCCAGGTCTTGGTCCACTACCAGACTATAGAGGCAGTGAGGCCTTTCCCTAGTGATCTGAGGTCTTTCACAAACACGTTATTTATAGCGCCTTCTTCCTTCTAACCTCCAAACTGAAGCTTACATGTATAAGGTTCAACTCTCAAGACACCCCAAAAATGCCTTCTGAATGTCTCTGCATACCCATCTCCAGCCTTAAGAAGTACACTTAGCTCCCTGGGCAGCTAGTTACACTTTGGAATAGTACTGCCCCTCATGGCATTCTTCCTTGCAGGATCTGCCTCCTGTAACTTTGCTCCTGCTCCTACATCTACTATTGGGTTGGCCAGGGTGTAGGGGGTCCCTCAGAACTCTGCAAAGTGCTGACTCTGGTCCCCTGCCATTCAGGTGCCTTTCTGTGGATAAGAGCCCAGAGTTAACCTTCTAGTCGGGAGAAGCCCAAACAATGCAGAATATGCTACTGTGCTATGGCTGTCTCCAGGCCAGGTTTTCTTCTACCATGCCTGTGGCCAAGTGAGTCTCTCCTGCTAGGAACTAATACAATGCTTCCTTTTCAATACCTTTTTTCTTAGCACCTGTCTGTTTTCCACCTTGCCACAGGCCTTGTCCCAGGAGTACCAACTGCTGCAAGGAGTGAAGGGAAGGCAAGAGGTCACCTGGGTCTGGTTCCCTCATCTTCCTCTCCCTTACCACCTTCTGTAGGGTCTTAGTGGAGGCTAGGACCAAGGCTTACCAAGTTCTCACAGCATCTCCTGAACTTTAGAATCATAGATAGTTAATTCCACAAGCCAGGGGGAAAGTACCACAGCACCCTTCTGCCCACCAGGCTCATGCACCACCACTCCAATGAAGCCAAGCAGAGCTGAGCGGAGCCAGCCATGGCCATGCATCCAGCTGGTCTGAGCTGCCCACCCCAGGCCATGCACAGCTGTAGGTCCCCCACCTCCAGCTGGAGCCATGCTTAGGGGATGTCCCCTTTACCCCTGGGCCTCCTTCTGTTTCCCTGGAATGTTGGTGCAACTGAAAAAACAAGACCATAGCAACCCCATGACTTTGGGGCACTAGAGGTAGCTCAGTTAAGTCCATCCCTGGGAAGCCCCAGACTCCTGAGGGGTGAGTTGAGCCATGGTAGCTTTGGAGTAGTTTCTGAAAAATACTATTGTTGGGAATCATAGTCACGATATACTCTCCCTTACTTCTCTTGAGCTCTATTAGTCCATGAGCATCATCCATTCATTTGTTCTCCCATTCATTCTGCAACTCATTCATGCACCCACTCATTTCCTTCCTCTCCTTTTGTAGGTAACAGCAACCCCACTATTCTATGTACTGGGCACTTGATTGAGTGGTATACATAGGGTAGATCTGCTCAGAAAGAGCTCAAAATAACTATGGCTTTTGATGAAAGAAGGTACAGAGTTCCCTAAGGTCAAAGTAGGCTGGGAGAGGAGAAAGGTTAGCAAGCCTAAATCAGTTTATCCCTGCCCATCTTCTTTGGAAGGCCTAAAGGGAGTCTGTGGTCCTCTCTAATTCTGTCTAGCCTGGAGGTAGTTCTGCTGGGGAGCTGGGAGAGGAAGGAAAGGGGGTTGAGTAGCCTAGAGGCACGAGTAGCATTTGATGTCGGTTTTCCCAGCACATGCACACATTTGCATGCACACATGTCTTCATGCACACACAAACTAGTTTATGTGCAGAGGAACAGACAGGCCTGTAGGCTCCACAGATGGGAGCACAGGCCAGCCTAGATATGTATGAATGCAATTCCCCTGCCTTACTCAGAGGAGATGTGGGTACAAACACTGGCCTCTCACCAGCACAGACAGAACAAACACAGGCACAAACACATGTATACATACTTCTCTTTGGCATGTCATGCAGAAGATGAAAGAAGAGAGTTTGGTAGGTTAGTAGTCCCTGGCTTACTGTAAATCTGAGTGTGGGGGAGCCAGGCTCAGCTGCTCCTGATTCCCTGTCCCCCTTTTCGCAGGTTCTTTTTAGGTCTCTTCCAGGCAAGGTCTGGGGATAACAAAGTGTCTCTTGCAAGTTCAGGTGGAGGCTCTGTAAGCTTTGTTTAGCTGCTGTTCCTATCAGTCAATTTGTTTTTAAATCTTCAAAAGGGAAGGAAAGAGGCTGATCCTGGAAAGTTCCAGAGCATGAAGTTCCTCTGAGTACCCAAGAGGAGAGGTTCTGGGTAGTCTTCCAGGAGGGAAGATGAGGAGGGGCTGGCCAAGGCTGTTCTCTGGGGGCTTCTCTAAATCTCTGACCCCTTGGCCTGGGACCAGCAGAGACGACTCATGAATCTTTCTCTACCCACACTGGGCTCCCCACACGTTCTCCAGGATGTTCATTACACCTATAGTGCAAAGCTTCTACTCTTGCTAGCAGGTAGCACAGGTCCTTGAGGTTAGAATGGTGGTATCTCCTGCTTCTGGGATTGCCCTCTTTCTACCCAGGCCTGGCCTAGGCAGTGGACCTGGGATATGCTAACTGGCTTCCTGGCTGCTACTTCCAACATTTCCCTCTACCATGTATCCTTCCAAGGGGCTAGAAGACCTCAGAGGCCAGGGCCCTGGCTAGGTCAGCAGGATAGGAACACATAGGAAGAGAGAAAGAAAGTTGCAAAAGACACACACACACACACACACACACACAATTTGAAAGTGGAAGAAATGAAGAGAGGCCAATTTTGTGAGAAGCAGCCTAATTTTTGAGCATCTGGGCTGCAAAGGAAAAGCCCCTTGAGCTTTATAGGAATATAGAACAAGAGGTCCCATCTGAGGCCATAGGACAGCACATGGTCGAGAGAGGGTCAGAACAGAGGTACATGAGGGCCTCCAGTCTGGACGTCAGGAGGGGCATGGTGGGAGGGGTTAGTTGAGCTGTTGGGGATAGACAAGTAGCATACCACACTCTTTCTGAGGCTCATCCGACCAGTCCCGGCAGTCCCTCTGATCATCACACACTTTCCCGCCGTCCACGCACTCGCCACTCTTACACTGAAATCTGCGGGGACCCTCACAAGTTGATTCTGTCGGGCCAGACAAGAGAGTGGACAGTGCCTGTGAGACACCGGGTGGGAAGGGTAGGGCTGGGCAGGGCAGGGCCAACAGAAAAAAAGCAGAGTTCAAGCACTAGCTCCCACAGGTCTCTCAAGGGCGCGCAGGACAGAGTGTGGAATCCAGGACCTGTGGAAGCTGTGCTCACAAGACAGGATCCTAGAGTTAACCAGAATGCCAAGCCTCATCTAGCCACGTAGGTACATGGGTTCTGTATCTGTTCTAGAAGTACTGAGGTCCTGGGAAGAACTGTGTAGCAACTTTATTGAGACTTAAAAGTCAGACTGACTATCTCCTGAGAGGGACCTTCTTCTCATGAGCCTTGGATAAAACACACCACCTTGTAGCTCAATCTGTAATCTGCTTCCCCAGATGAGCAGTGGGCAGGGCCCCTGTTCCTGTAGAGCAGGTAGTACCCGGCAGAGCCATTTGAGACTGAGAGGCACTCCTTTGCGGAGGGGGGACAGGCAAGATTTAGTCTGTGCTCAGTCTGAGAACTGGTAAGGAAAGTCACGCAAAAGCTTGGGTGTGGACAAATACTGGGGAGCCTGGATTCACTGTAGTGGCCTTTCATATCCCCTTAGCTCTCTTTCAGCTCTTACAAAGTCCTTAAGAGTCAAGGACCACATGAAAGGGGATCTTGGTGGTACAGGGTCAAGTGATGCTGTGTGGGAAATGCACCTCCAGATTTGGGAGGGGGCTCAGGGCCTCTTCTCACAGAGGATGCCAAAACCCTCATCTCCACCACACGCACCCAGCAGGCAGCCAGCTTCATCACTCCCATCTGGGCAGTCTTGTTCCTGGTTGCAGCGTTTGATTGCAAGGACACAAGTCCCATCCCCACACTGGAACTCATCCTCACTGCAGGTCCCTGGTGCTACTGAGAGAAGGCAAGAGGAGGTGGTCAGGGTCAGTGTGGTGCTAGGACAACTCTCCCTGACAACCTCATGCCATATCCACCCCTGGAAAGAACAGCACCAATGGCTGAGCTTAGGAGTCCTCAAAGGACACCTAGTCAAACCATCTCCAGTGTACACACAGGGAGACTGAAGCTCAGAGAGGGGGAAGGCCTTGCTAAAGGTCACACAGCACTCAGGTCTCCTGTTTCCTTGCCCACCACTTCTTAACACAGACATGTGGTCTTCATGGAGTCCTGGTGCTCATGATTTAGTGATTTTTGTCCATTTAGTCAACCCTTTCTAAGTTTAGCACTGTGCTGGGTGCTGGTGGGGAGTCCAGAGACTAAGAGCCCCTTTCCAGGGACTCAGGTGCAGAGAGCTGAACTGTGCACCTATCAGGATATCACAATGTGAGCTGTGCCTGTAAGAGAAAGCAGCAGGGACCTGCCTAAGTCCATGGAGGGACCCACTCCAAGTGGGTCAGTCTTTAGACTCTGACAGAGCCTGCAGGGGGAAGGGCCTGTAGGAGGCACTCCTAGAGCCTAGGATCTCTGGGCAGGGGGCCCAGTGCCAGACTCTCTGTAACAAGAAAGGGGCGGCAGCAGGTGTAACAGGAAGGGGCCACATAGCAGTGACACAGGTACCAGTGAGGAAGCCTGGCTTCTGGGGTCAGGCCTGAGCTCCACTGCCTAGCAACCATGTGACCTTCTGCAAGTCACTTCATTCTCTCACTGGTGTAAGTCTACTAAAGCAACGTAACCTATTCCCTGTAGGAGGAGGGCCGCATCAGCAGGCCATGGTGGGACTGAGTGACGTGGAGGGGGCTTACGGCAGTCGGCCTCGTCTGACTTGTCCTTGCAGTCGCGGTCGCCATCACAGCGCCAGCCCAGGTGTATGCACTCGCCGCTGCGGCAGGCGAACTGGGTGGCAGGAGTGCAGGCTGCTGGCATGGACGTGGTCCCCTGGCCCGCTCGCCCGCAGAGCTCGGCTGCCTCATCCGAGTGGTCCTCACAGTCGAACTGGCGGTCACAGACCCAGCGCTCCGGGATGCAGGTGCCTCCACCTCCACAGCGGAACTCACGGGGCGGGCAGGCCGGGTCAGCGCAGCCGCGCTCGTCGCTGCCATCGCCGCAGTCGTCATCACCATCGCACACGAACACAGAGGCCAGGCAGGAGCGGTTGCTGCACTGGAACTCGTGCGGGGCGCACACTGCGCAGGACAGAAAGCCGGTCGGCCGGCCAGACCCCATCCCCTGCTATGCTACCCGGCCCGCTGGTCCTGCTAGAGGGATTCTGACCCTCACCTACAGGTTAGGATAGGTCCTGCTGGAGACCTGAACCTGGACCATGCTGTCATGGATGGCGGCTTCCAACCAGGAGCCCTGCCACGTACATGTTACGTGTAGGTGTCTTCCCTGAGTACATGTCAGAATTTCTGCCCTGTAGCCAGCAGCCGTGGTGGGACTGGGAGAGGATCTAAAGCCGTGGAGCACTGTTGTTTGATGTTACAGGAAATGCACTGTAACATGACTTACACCAGATGACAGGGAACGGGGTTGTTCCCCTGTGGTGTAGCTGTGTATTATGTGGCCTGTATAGCCCATTTTAAATCTCCAGCCTGACCTTGCCCTAGACTCCTGAACACATTCCAGCTCTGGCCACCTTACAGTTCACACAATCTCCCGTCCAAGCCTTTGTTCAAGTTGCTCCATCTTCTGGGAACCCACCACTGCCTCTTAGTTCACAACTAAGATTTCTTCCCCTTCAAGGGCCCAAATTCCACCTCTCCCATCACACGCTTGTTTCCCTGCTTGGGAAACCTCCTTTTGCCCCAGTGTGCCTATCATGTGCCTTTCACAGCCAGCCCACGTGTCTGGGTTTCATGTCCTTCTCTGCATGCCCCATTGTTCTGAGGGCTGGCATGGCGCTCCCTGTAGCAGATTGGTGTGGAATGGATGAAGTAATTGAGGCACAGGTTCTGGCCCTGTCTGGGGCCTGTGCTTCCTCTCGTATAGGATAGTCCAAATTCAGTCAGGAAAGT